TTCCTGTATTTTAATCATGTAAAGCACTTTGCATTGTCTTTGTACTGAATTGTGCTATACAAATAAATTTGCCTTGCCTTTTTAATTCTATTATAGAGCCCTTTCCTGAGGTATTGTCGAAATCAGCGTAAAATATCAGTATCTCATTTATTGATGGAGCTCAAGTATTACATCACCGCTGCAGTTAAAAAACAATATTTTAATTCAGAATTTAAAAAATAATAATATTCAAGAGAATGCAGAAACTTCTTAAGATTATACATTTTTGCTCAAACTTATAATTGCTGCTTGAACCTGAATGGACTGATTGGCTGCTTTGATTAGTGATAAAAAAAGAGAATGTGAGTCAGGGTTACACACCGCTCCAGCCTGGGTGGCGCACTGGCTTCTCAAACCTTCCAGGGATGTCTGCAAAGGGAACGCCTTTGAAAACATCCATGTAGCGGCGGTAGCCGAGGTAAAGGTTTTGTCCCTCTACCTTCCCTCCCTCGGTGGATACAACCCCGAGCTGCAAGAGTTACAAATGGACCAACTAAAGAGATGAACTCAATCATAAGTATAATAAGTGTTTTTCTTGGTGAGAAAAAAAAAAACAAAACAATTCAAGCAACTTACTTCTTTGTTATGTAATAAACTTGTTTTTTTTCATATAACTGTACATAATTAATTTGAGTGCATATTAATTTGAGCTCAGTTGTATAACATTTAATACAAAATGTAAGAATCTGTCTGAGTAGGACTTACAGAGTTGGCAGAGATGATCTCCAGTAAAAGAGAAAAGGTAACCAAAACTGCAAGAACAGCCATCAGGAATAAACCACGATGCTCAAGGTGATTGTCAGGCCAACTCTTTTTAAACATTATCGGAAACATGTGCATGCACGACACATAATCATTAACCAGCCCATATGGGCAGGTTCCTGAAATTTTATAAAGAGAAACATTGAAGTTTGAAAACCAATACCTAAATCTGTTTTCGAAGGTGGATGAAAATTGGCTTAAACATGACATAAATATTGCCTTATTTATATTGGAGTCTTCAGAATTTAGAAAATATTATGCAAAAAATTTCTCAAAGTGAGATGGAAATTTCTTCCCATGTGATCCACTCATGGAAGATGGACTTATGCCATGAATTAAGCTAAAAATGGACATGGGACAGGTTAATATTTAAATGCTTTGACGAAGCCCAATCAAAGATGAACTGAACTTAGAATCAAGGAGGCTGGATGTTCTTACCATGTATCCAAACTCTTAATTAAAAATGAATCAATTAAATCTTTATCTGTATTTAATTTTTTCTTTTGCATTCATGTAAGAACAACTTCATTTTGCATCTTGACAAACTAATAGCACTCTAACGTTTTTTGCTAACAAACCAAACTGGTCCTAAACCAGAAAAGGTGGGATTATTCCATCGAAAGAGGGCCTTATCTGCAGCAATGTGGATGTGGCACACTAAGAGCTGAGACCCTCACTTATGCAGAATGGAGCGAACTTCCTCTGAACAGTGGCTGGACTCAGCCTTTGTTGGAAGATGAGGGACTCTGGTTTCCACTCAAAACTCGGTGCAAAGTTTAAGAGTCTGTTGAATTACTGATATAATCAGGATGCATCCTTTGTAATTTGCAGAGAGATTCCTTGATATCCCTCTTGAACTACCTACCATCAACGTTTTAAGTGGAAGACAATGAATGTAAGGATGGAGAAAGCATTAAAGGTCGAACCAAATAAAATATTCACACAAAGAGGCCTCAATGAAGCTTTTACATCAGAAAAATCCAAAAGGAAGCCAGACGACTGAAGGATTGTGTCTCTAGTGGTGGTTGAGTCCCCAGGTTAACCCTGTAATATTATTAATATTGTTTAATTTTAAAAGGGAGTTTCACATTTTTATTTATTTTGATCACTTTCCACTTTTTTGTTGAGATTTGTGTCTAGTTCGAAATGTGTTTGGAAACTATCATACCATTAAATTAATATAGTCAATTAGAATAACACATTTTACTCATTTGGTTACAGGAACATCAAAAAAGCTGCCTTAAAAATAACAAAAAAAAACAAAAAAAACAACTTTGGATATGTTGCAGTTATTTATTTACATTCCCCTAAAAAAAGGAAAACAGTTCAACCAACCATTTCATGATTTTGTTACATATAGTCCAGCATATCTGTCTCCATCTCATTTTCGCTTCCTTCAGATGGCTGAAACTCATCTTCCTCATTTTCCTCTTCATCTTCTTTGTTTTCACATTCTTCATCTCCCTCCTCCTCCTCTTCATCTCCCTCCTCTTCATTGTCTCCATCTTTCACCGTGCCTTTCCTTCTTTTAGGGAAACTTTCTGGCATCTCTGAAGGAAAAAAAGAGAGAAAATTAACTAGAGAATTCATCTTCATGCAACATCTCAGTCAGAGTTCAGATGATAAAACTGAATAAGAAAAATATCCACTTAACGAGTCTACAAGCACAGCGCTAAGAGGGCTGCTTGATTTGAAACAGAAAACAGCGCAAGAGTGAACTATGAGGGAGCAAAATAATCATTACATTTTTATGATTGTTGAAAACCCAGATTGTGATTGAAATTAAAATACAATCAATTCCCAGGCCCTAATGTGACCTTTAATCTTTAATTTAAGCAAAACTTTATTCCTGAATGTTTTGTTTATAAATCTAAACCCTAAGGTGCAATTTGGGGGCGGTTGCACGTCTCCCTTCCCCCATTTAGATCCTGATTTTGATCTATGATCCACACAGAGTCTTGTTGCGATAACTGAGGTTTTGACACAGACTTCAGAGGACGGAGTTACTCCACTAATAATATCGCCGCTGTCAGGACGCAGTTACTCCTGACAACGACAACAATCTCTATCATGCCGAGAATGTTTCACGACTAATGTTTAAGGCGCAGGTGAGAGCCAGCATGAAGATCACAACATAAACAAACACCCGTGGAATTTTCCCACAGGTCTCAGGTATTGCTCAACAGTTTCAACAGTCGGGATTTTTCACTTCCCTACCAGGAAATAAGCAAATGTTTTATCACCCTGAAGCAGAGGTTGGTAGCAACAAGTTATAGAGTAACATTTTGAAAGAACTTTAATTTTAGTTGTAGTTTTACTGTACCACACTTCTTACTTTTACTTGAATTATATTATTTAGAAGAATTGCTACTCCTATTTAAGTAAAATGTCTGACTATTCTGTTCATTGTGAGTAACTTCAGCTATTTAGAGATAAGAGGAAACTACAGCAAATGCTAGATATTGTCAGCAGTAGTTATTAGCCTGCACATTTAGAGTATGTTTGGCTCAACCGGCTGCTGTGAAGCAGGATTTTCCACCATGAACATAATCAAAAATAAATATCGATCCATGCTCACGAATGAGCACTTTGAGATGTGCT